GAGAGAGAGAGAGAGAGAGAGAGAGAGAGAGAGAGAGAGAGTACATGTATACGTACATGCTGCGGATCAAACCCCCAGGGCCTGGTTTGTGCTACACAAGTGCTCTGCTGCTGAACTATATCTCCAACCCATCTTCAAATTTCTGGAAGAGATATGTTAAGATCTTCCTCTGTAATTGTGAATTTGTTTATTTTCCTCTGAATGATTTTCTCATTTTTGCTTTATTTTTGAGACTGCTATTAGTTTCATATCAGTTCATTATTTCTATATTCTTCTGCTGAAAATATTTTATCATTGTATAATAACTTGCTCAAAGAACACTTTTGTTTCAAAGTGTGCTTTCATATAGCAGTGCAACATCTCGCTATCTCATATGTTTACTTTGTAATGAACTGTTGGTAAATTTAATTTTTAAATCAGCTATTGAAGTATAGTTTACATAAAGTACAAACACTCAGTATACAATTTAATGAGTTTTGACAAATTTTATACTTCTATAATTACCATTACAGAAGATATGGAACATTTTCATCATCTCCCTAACATTTCTCAAACCTCTTTGCAGTCATCCATCCAAATCTCCAAGCAACTGCTGATTTGCTTTCTATCACAATAGATTAGATCTGCCGATTTTCTAGAATTTTTCATAAACAGAATCAGGTAGTATACATTTATTTGTGTTTTGGCGTCTTTCATTCAGCATGTTTTTGAACTTTATTCATATTGTTGTATGTTAGTTCATTCCTTTTTTTGTGTTTTTGTTTTGAGATGTGGTCTTGCTAAATTGCCCAGGCTGGCCTTGAACTTGGGATCCTCTTGCCTCAGCCTCCCACATAGCTGGAATTTCAGGTGTCCACTACCATGCCCAGCTAGTTCATCCTTTTCTTTTTTTTAATTTATTCTTTAATTATTTGAATTGTTTGAACGTATTTGAATTGTTTCCAGTTTGCACAAAATGTTGTTGAAAATATTCTTTCATATGGTGAACATAGGTAGGAATTTCCATTGGGTATATGCCTAATCATTTTTTTCCTTTTTTAAAAAATTTGTTTCTTTTAGATATACATGACAAGTGTATTTTGACATATTATACCTATGTGGAATGCAACCCATTCCAATTTGGATCCCATTCCTGTGGTTGTACATGATATGGAGTTATGCTGGTCAAGTATTCATATATGAGCATAGGAAAGTTATGTCCAGTTCATTCCACTATCTTTCTTATTTCCATCTCTCCTCCCTTCCCTTCATTCCCCTTTGTCTAGTCCAATGAACTTCTATACTTCCCCTCCCTACCCTTTCTTGTTATGGGTTAGCATCCGCATATCAGAGAGAACATTTTGGCCTTTGGTTTTTTGGGATTGGCTTATTTCACTTAGCATGATAGTCTCCAGTTCCATCCATTTATTAGCAAATGCCATAATTTTATTCTTCTTTAATGCTGAGTAATATTCCCTTGTGTACATATACCACATTTTTTTTATCCATTCATCTTACTCATGCTAGGCAGGTGCTGTACCACTGAGCTATATCCCTATCCCTGGCCATTTAAGTGTAATGACATCTCTAAAAGTCTTACCTTCAAATTCAGTCATATTAGTAGTTAGGACATCAACATACAAACATGGGAGCAGGGCAGGACACAATTTAGTCCGTAACAAATTGCTTTTAGTTTTTGACCATTATGAATAAAATTTTTGCAAATGTTGTTTCAAGTCTTTGTGTGCACATAAGTTTTTATTTATCATGGATAAAAAGCTAGGAAAACCCGTCACCACCACCCTCCAATTTACTGTAAGTCTGCTTGACTTTTTAAGAAACTGACTGGTGGTTTCCTAAAGTGCTTGTGCCACTCCCGATTGCTCTGGGTGGTAGTGCCAGTCACTCTGCATCTTCTCCAAGACTTGCTAATAGGTGTATGGCATTATTACATTTGTCATTTTAGCCTGCACTTTCATCATTACTAGTGATGGTGAGCAGCTTTTCACATGCTTATTGGTCACTAATCTGTCATCTTCTATGAAGTATCTTCTAATTCATTATAGATATACATAAAGGGCTTTCTGATATTCATGGTTTTTTTTGGTTGCTAATTTACATTCTTTTTTATTGTTTGTTCAAAATATTACAAAGCTCTTGACATATCATATTTCATATATTAGAATCAAGTGGGTTATGAACTCCCATTTTTACCCCAAATA